ATATATATATATATATGTATACATTATGTATACTATATATATATATATATATATATATATATACATAATTCGATATTCTTGTGGGTGTGTGTGGGGACATGACCTGAAAAGCAGAGCCTGTTTAATCAGCATTCGCGCTAGACTTTATGTCTTCAGCTTTAACGTGTTATAAAGTGGTAGGATACATGAAGTTCAGGTACGGCTGCTTCAAGTAGGGTTCATGACAATGTATGGTCACATACGAGTGCAGACTCAATAATTTGCGATACGCAGGCTGTTCAGTAACGATCATATGCATGGACTGGGTACTACTATGATACAATCCCTTAAAGCGCCTCTCTAGATTGACAAAGTATGTGACATCGGAATTGAATATGCTAACCTTCGTATAGCTGTTGGGGGTTCTGAATGTATATATTTGCCTTTGACACTATGATGATTGCGAAATTGAGTTCACAATCTCAAAATTTATTTTCATGGCAAAGTTTAGCACTCCAACACCATCTACTGAGAGAAGATGCATTACCGGTTCACATCTCTAATCGGTTTGCTGTCAAATCGCGTCAATTCAATGTGCCCTGAGGCTTGATCGAGATAACACATTGTATCGCCGTGAATTAGATCAAGTAGAATCATTTTTGGCTTTCCGGACTTGATTTCTGCATTAGTTTTACATCATGACAACCACGTGCACATATTGAAACACTGCTTGACAACAAGTCCCCCACCATGCTCGCTGTTTATCCAACTCGGAACGATATATACCCATTCTTTAGATATTAGACGTCATGCGCACACTTGTATTTAGTACTGTACCGTGCAGATTTTAACTTTGATATTGGCGGTTCAATTTTTTTTTTGAACATGGTTCAATTTTTACTCCGAGAAAAAAAAATGTCGGTATTCAAGCAAATTATAGATACACAACGTATGCTCCCGAATTACTCATAGACACCTGTCACATACACAGCAAGTGCTCCTAACCTACTCATAGACACCAGCCAAGCACCAGAATGGGATGATGCGCATATATCAGTCTTCTCATTCGACTACTCAGTATTCTTGTCTTGAGCGTATATAAACTTACCTTAGTCTCGTGGCTGTGTGAGCATATCACTCAGTATTTCTGTTGCCTGTATATAAGCGGTTCGTATTGAATTTTACACTGTAATTTTTACCTTGTAGTATTTTGCTCAGTATGTGCTAGCTTATGCCGAGTGTGCGGCTGTGCGCACCAGTGTCGATTTATTTAGCAGATATCGCTGAGGCTATATGGTACCGAAATTCTTGCGAATATCTATTGATTCTCGGCCAATGTTGCGCTCAGGTGGTTCCCCCGGCGGGTTGGGTTGCACGCCGTTCATATGAGGGCATCAAAGATTTAGTCAAAATCACATCGCCGATTGAACAGGCAATGACAGGCCAACAGGTGTGTGTCGCCATTCTCTGATTAAAAAGTTTATTGGGCCAGTGTATGATCCGGAATATTTATGAGAGTGCTTTCACTTCGCACGTGTCCTATATGTTTTGTGCCCGAGCATGGGTATAACGAGTTTTTGGATTTTTTTTCTAGTCCAGCATTTGGTAGACCATGATCAAAAGTTACTGACAGTGGATTGGAAGTTATCAATACCGTATTTACTCGGTTTTTTATGTGGTTGCCGCATATCACACACACCTATACACACACAC